GAAAGAGTTAGTGAGACAATACTCACTCACCTAGGGTGTAAAAATGAATGTGTCTGAGAAACATGATCACTTTCCTGCTTTATAATAGGATACCATGACGGTAATTCCATTCCTGATGGTGTATCTATCTGTAGAAAAATGTAGAAGGGAAGATTATTGAGAGAAGGTGTGATGGTTAAAATTTTAAAGTGTCAACTTGACAGGGTCATAGCGTGTCCCTGGAGAACCTTGCGAAAGAAGAGTTACATTAACAGTCATCTTCTAATACAGCAATCTTTCCTTAAAGTACCATGCCTGGTCACTTGAAACTCAGAGACTGCTACATGATCTATCCCACTGCAAACAGTTTCAGTGTGCATGTTAACAGGGATTACCAGAAGTGATTTCATCCAATTTCATACTTACAACATCTATTTTAAAAATCCATTTTAGCCCTGGCTGGGTGGCTCAGTTGGTTAGAGCACCATTCCATATACCAAAAGGTTATGGGCTCCATCCCCAATATGGTGAGTACAAAAGGCAACCAATCAATGTTTCTGTCTCTCTCCCTCTCCCTCTTCCTCTTTCTACCTCTCTCCCTCCCTCCCTAAAATCAATAAACATATCCTTTGATGAGGATTTTTAAAACTTTAAAACCCATTTTAAATAACAGTACCCTGCAAATGTACAGAACTGGTAAGTTCTGATTCTTCTTCACTGCTACAACCAGCTAGAATATAACCCATCCATATCCATACAGTATTTGTTAATGTATAGGTAACATTCTACAGTAATAAATACCTTGCCAAACTAAACGTGAAATTACTTTGTCTGCCAACACCTATCAGTAAACCGTATTTCCTCATAAACTGTATCTGTAAATAAAGGAAAAGGAGACTATAACTGACTACTTATTGAGTATCTACCTGATAAGAAATACACACACACACACACACACACACACACACACACACATATCATATATATACATATATATATGCATCCTGCTTAATTCCAACAAATACCTCATTAAGTAGATATTATTATCTCTATTTCACAGATTAGAAAAAAGATTATTGAGAGAAGGTGTGATGGTTAAAATTTTAAAGTGTCAACTTGACAGGGTCATAGCGTGTCCCTGGAGAACCTTGCGAAAGAAGAGTTACATTAACAGTCATCTTCTAATACAGCAATCTTTCCTTAAAGTACCATGCCTGGTCACTTGAAACTCAGAGACTGCTACATGATCTATCCCACTGCAAACAGTTTCAGTGTGCATGTTAACAGGGATTACCAGAAGTGATTTCATCCAATTTCATACTTACAACATCTATTTTAAAAATCCATTTTAGCCCTGGCTGGGTGGCTCAGTTGGTTAGAGCACCATTCCATATACCAAAAGGTTATGGGCTCCATCCCCAATATGGTGAGTACAAAAGGCAACCAATCAATGTTTCTGTCTCTCTCCCTCTCCCTCTTCCTCTTTCTACCTCTCTCCCTCCCTCCCTAAAATCAATAAACATATCCTTTGATGAGGATTTTTAAAACTTTAAAACCCATTTTAAATAACAGTACCCTGCAAATGTACAGAACTGGTAAGTTCTGATTCTTCTTCACTGCTACAACCAGCTAGAATATAACCCATCCATATCCATACAGTATTTGTTAATGTATAGGTAACATTCTACAGTAATAAATACCTTGCCAAACTAAACGTGAAATTACTTTGTCTGCCAACACCTATCAGTAAACCGTATTTCCTCATAAACTGTATCTGTAAATAAAGGAAAAGGAGACTATAACTGACTACTTATTGAGTATCTACCTGATAAGAAATACACACACACACACACACACACACACACACACACTTATCATATATATACATATATATATGCATCCTGCTTAATTCCAACAAATACCTCATTAAGTAGATATTATTATCTCTATTTCACAGATTAGAAAACTGAGGTTCAGAAACTGAGACAGAAAAGAATAACTTGTGTTACTAATTTCTCTCTTATTCCGGTTTGCTTTGTAGTCTTCCCTCCCTATTTAATATTATAGTAATTACCCTGCTCTTTTGGGAAAAGCGTTCCTTGAAAGGGGGCAAGACTCACTAATGGAGAAGAGGAAAAGGAGCTGAGAGAAGCCCTGGTTCAAGTGAGCAACAAAGATAGGAGGTTAACAGACAAACCTAGTGGAGTGAGGGAGAAGGAAGCTGGGGATGAAATACAGAAGGAAGGATGAGACAAAAAGGAGAGCTGGATATTCTGACCCTGCCTAGTTAATTCTGCAACTAGGTAAGGTATGTGGAGAATGACACCTCATTTGAGAATGCATAAACACAGCACTCAGGGGATAGCCACTAAATACCAAGAATTAGGAAAACTGTTTTGCCTGACATCCTAATATTCCAGTTCCAGAACCAAGAAAGTAAGTAAGGAATGGAAACATCTCCAGATGCTAAGCAGTTGTGATTAAAGCATAACCAAATTCATAAATTGTCCATGGTTTGGTTAGGGAGATCCTGCTAATAGAGGAAACCAAAGCAGATTGAAGAGACTCAGGAAAGGAAAGGAAAGGCCTGACAGGTAACCCACTGCCCCAACACAACTAGCTCAAAACAGAAAGGAAACAGCTTTTGGAGCACACATTATACAACCTGACCAATTATGAAGATGATTTAAGGCCAATTAAAAGCCAAAAACAAAAATATGGTGATTTGTATTGGTAGATCAACATTTTTGTTAAGAATTACTGGGCGAGCCCTGGCCGGTATGGTTCAGTTGGCTGGGCATCATCCCATGCATCAAAAGGTTGCCAGTTTGATTCCCAGTCAGGGTACATGCCCAGGTTTCGGAATCGATCCCAGGTAGGGGGGGGGGGGGGGGGGGCACGGAGGAGGCACCTGATCGATGTTTCTCTCTCACCATCAACATGTATTTCTCTCTCTCCATCTCCCTTCCTCTCTCTCTAAAAATCAATTTAAAAATCTTTTAAAAAATAATAATAATTACTGGGCAAGGAATTTGAAAGGCTAAGACCATAAGATCATAGGGAAAAGAATGATTATTTTGAAAGGATTTAAGAGTTACGCATTCACTGAGGGCCTCTAGACTCTATATAAGAGTAGAATTTTTTTTAAACCCACAATCCCGATCAAATATTCTAAAAAAAGTTCAGAATCTGAGGCAAAATATACTGCTTATTAATAAAGTAAGCCAATCACTTCTTTACAGTTTCTTGGCCTACAGCTTAGTTCTCCTAGTAAGTCAGAAAGGGAATCAACTGCTGGCAACAGAAATACTAAATGATAGGTGCCTGGTGACAGCTGACAGCCCAAAGAGATGAATTACAACATAATGCAAACATAAAAACTATCCAAAAGGCAATGCAATTTGAGGGCTTTACCATAGGCCAGGGCAAATAATTTAATGTATCTCAATTGTCCCTTACCCTCATCACAACAGAGTATAATAACTGATGTTTACGAAGTCTTGAGTCAACATGACATAGTTAAATTGTATTTTATATCTTATACATACATATATATGTATACATATATATGTATGTATAAGATATAAAATACAATTTAACTATGTCATGTTGACTCAAGACTTCGTAAACATCAGTTATTATACTCTGTTGTGATGAGGGTAAGGGACAATTGAGATACATTAAATTATTTGCCCTGGCCTATGGTAAAGCCCTCAAATTGCATTGCCTTTTGGATAGTTTTTATGTTTGCATTATGTTGTAATTCATCTCTTTGGGCTGTCAGCTGTCACCAGGCACCTATCATTTAGTATTTCTGTTGCCAGCAGTTGATTCCCTTTCTGACTTACTAGGAGAACTAAGCTGTAGGCCAAGAAACTGTAAAGAAGTGATTGGCTTACTTTATTAATAAGCAGTATATTTTGCCTCAGATTCTGAACTTTTTTTAGAATATTTGAGCAGTATGCAAATTAGCCGCCATCTTTGTTGACAGTTAATTTGCATATCGTGCTGATTAGCCAATTGGAGGCGTAGCGAAGGTACGGTCAATTACCATGTTTGTCTATTATTAGATAGGATGTGCCTAAGCGACTGTTACGACCAAACAACAGGTCAACCAGTCACTATGATGTGCACTGACCACCACAGAGGGAACGCCATTCAGCTAGAAGCCAGGCTCACGGCTGGTGAGCACAGCTGCAGCAGCAGGAGCCTCTCCAACTCCGCGGCAGCGCTACTAAGCAGTGGCCACAGGCGCAAGCAGGCTGGGATGAGCGCGAGCAGCGCGCCAGCTTGGGCTCCTCCCTGGCCCCCTGCCACTAATATGCAAACTGTCCCCTCGACCAGGAGTTTCACTGGGAGTGGACCGGCCGGCCAACTGCCCGCAGCTCCCCACCCCCTCCACCCGACCCTGCCCCAGCCAGCGGCGGCAGCAGGCAGCCGGGGGAAGGGAGGCCCCAGCCAGCAGCTGCTAGGGACCCTACCCGTGCACGAATTTCATGTACTGGGCCTCTAGTGAAAAAATATCCTCAGGTGAGCATTAACAAAAAAAAAAAGAGATTTTCTTCTCTAGAAGTCACTTGTTAAACTCATTATTTAGAAAATAAAGGAAGCTCTGTTCCACTTTTATATTTGAAACAATCTTGGATGTACTGCTCAAGAAATCAATTGTTACCAGACTTTTTAAATCAAGATTACTAAAATTGATTTACATATTCAAAAATTTTCCTATTATGGAAAATCCAATCTGGAATCTCCAATCTTCAGAAAAGCAAATTCTAAACTTTTTCAGCCAAAGATCTTGACTTGAAACCTAACTCAATTTTGATCATTTCAAAACTCTACAGCTTGATTTGTATACATTTTACTTTTATTCATGACCCAAATGCAGTTTATCTTTATTTCTATGATGTCTCTACACTCCAGATGCCACCTTAAGTAATTGTTTGTGCATTCATATACAAGGTGGGGCAAATATAGGTTTACAGTTGTTCATATGGGAAATAATACAAGAATAAACTTTTGTATACTCACAACTATAAACCTATTTTTGCCCTACCCTGTATTTTTAAACATCCATCCCTCTCTAGTTTCTGTTCTTAGCCTTGAAGACTGTCTTATTTGATTTCCCATTCTCAAACAATCTCACAAA